GAAAAGGCGGCCCGGGTCCCGCGCCCTCCGCACGCGCCGCGCTCCATGTGAGCCGCTCGCGCCCACGCCCCACATCCCGCGCCCCGCGCCCCGCGCCCCGCGCCCCGCACCTCGCACCATGAGCGGCCTGAAGCCGGACGGCGAGCCTGGCGCGGGCACCGACACGGGCCCCGGCGGCAGCCCCGAGGACGAGGTGGGTCTGGCGAGTGGGGAGCGCGCGGGTGCGGCGCGGGCTCCGCCCGGGCTCGGGAGGGGGCAGCCAGGACCCAGCGTGGCCGGGACCCCGAGACCCCGCCGCGGAGGAAGGCGCTGCACGGGGCCGCGCGGCGGCCGACGGCCCCCCTCTCCTGCCCTACCCCCGACCCCTCTCCGTGACCTTGGAGCCCGGCCGGCTCCCCGACGCCCCGCACCTGGCCTCCCTCGGGCGAGGTCGTAGGCAAGCGCGGGCCCAAGACCCCGGGGTGGGTTGGCCGGGTGCCGCCGGCTTAATGAGAGTCGGGGAGGAGACGGCTGAAGCCACTCAGCTGCCGGGTCTCCTCGTGGTTGCCAGGTCAGGACCCCGAAGCTGGTTTGGGTTGGGACCCTGCGAGGAGAGGGAACCTCGTCCTGCCCACCGGCCATGTGCAGGAGGGGGCGCGACAGGGCTGCTAGGAGCCGCTAGCAGCTGGCCGGCTACTGGGATGGAGAGGAGGATGTGGGGTGGAGTGGGGTGGGGTGGAGGAGAAAAGCCTCGAAGCTATCAGCACGGGAAGGGCGGCGGTGGGTAGGGGACAGCCCTGTCCGCTTCCACCGAGGGACTCTGCTGTGTCACTGCAGGGCCGAGAGACACCGCCCCCCCCAAGCCCTTGTCCAGGAAACCAAGGCCCAGTTATCCGTCTCGAGCGCCCTTCCCTTGGTTTGGGGAAGAAACCGCAGAACCCTAGGTGGGGGGCTGGTGTCGCCCCTTCCTTGTGCTGTGGGGTTGGTGCAGAATGGCGGGGCATCCACTGCTGGGCTCCGAGCGGCCACCCCAGCCCACGATGCTGGTGTCTTCAGAGTCTGGATCCGGAGCCTTGATTTTAGGCGAGGGAAGGGAAGAGTATACAGCTCTTGGCTCAGAGGGAGGGCCTGAACTCTGGTGTGCTGTGGGGGGTTTTGGCCCTGGTGAGCTCTCTCGCTGCCTCCAGGCCTTTAGTCTTCTGGGAACTGACCCTCCATCCCGACTGCCCTGAGAACACCGGGAGAGTGACTGGTGTGTTTGGGTGTCTGCTTGCCCTTCCTCCTCTGAGGGAGGGCTGAGGTTGGGGGGAGAGAGTGTCTCCCGAGAAGTGTAGAGAGGACCCTAATTGTCCATCTATAAAGGGTTGGCTTTAGCAGCGACTTCCAGTGCAGGATAGCCGGGGACTGACCCTGGGACCCACAGCTCTGGGTGGGGAGAAAACCGTGTGGTCCGGCTAAAGTCTTGAGGTTTTGGCCCCTTTTTTGGTACTGAGGCTGGAACCCAGGGGCACCCCATCATTGAGCTACATCCCTATCCTTTTAAAAAAAAAATGTATGCAGGCGTGCACCACCATGCCTGGGTCTGCTACTTTTTCTTATTGGTTTTCTGGGAGAGACAACAGGACCCTGGAAAGAAGAGTCCCTGCTGTTCTTCCTGGGGACTGAGGCAGCTGCAGCACTGTGGTGGTTGAGAGGGTGGGCGCAGGGGGCATGCACTGGTATTTAGCAGACTTTTAGAACTGGGGGCCTCAGATCTGGGGCCCAGTGTCTGCTCTGGCCTGGCAAGAGCAAGGGCAGGTCCCTTCCCCTCAGCCTCTGAGCTCTTTGCGGGGGGGGGGGGGGGCGCTCCACTTTGTTTCAGGGGGTTGGGCTGGAACTGGCCTCCTCTTTGGTTTGGGTGCCGCCCTCAGTCCTGGAATCCCTAAGAGAAAGAATATGCCAGCCCCGGTGCTGTGACCAGGCTGGCCCTTCTGAGACTATTGAAGATGTGTTAGAGCAAGGCTAGAGAGCCAAGGACCCTACTGCCACTACTGGGAACCCTCGGGCCCCAGTCCTGAAGGTGCTGGGTTGCTTGGGAAGGCAGCGTTTTTGGGATTCTGGGAGCTATCAATCAATGGGGAAGTTTGTCTAAAACTGCTCGCCAAAACTTGTGTATCCTCAGCTTTTGGCTCATCTGTACCCTAAGGATTAGGTCCCCTTTCTGGACCAGGGGTTAGGGACACAAGTGAAAAGGTTGTGAGCTGGGAGGACTTGCTGGAGGTGGTGGTGTGCTGGGGGGGTCGGCACATGGTACCTTGGTGCCCCTGACATGTGTGTGAGGAGGTGTTAGACCTATGGGGGTGGCAGGGGCCTTGCAAGAAGCAGGCGTGGCCTGTGTGAAGTGAGGACAGGTGGATCGGAAGCCTCCTGGCTATTTGGGTAACCATGGGGCAGTGGGGCCCAGTAAGGAAGGGAAGACCACCCTATGAAGAGGCAGAGTTGCCATGTTAGGGGAAAGAGGGGATTTTCCTGCCCTTGGAGAGAGGTGTTAAAAGCTTTGATGCCCATTGAAAGTTGAGGGCAGCAGGGAAGAACTAAGAGAGGAGCCGAATGTCCCTTTCCTAGGAGTCTGTGTCACCTCCTAGGTGGATCTTACCCTGCTATGCCTCGGACTGGCCCAGGCTATTGTGTCCTAAGGGTTTCCCTGGAGGGTTTCTCCCCCTAGGCGGTTAGATTGCCCCAGGAGAGGGGACAAATGTTTTTATTTTACAGTGGAGACCTTACTTTCAGAATACAAAGTAACACACCAGGGCCTGTGCTTGCTAGGCAAGTGCTCTAGTGCTAAGCTCTGTCTGCAGTCCTCTCCCTTCATTTGTTTTTCTTTTGAGAGGAGGTCTCAAATTGCCCAGGCCAGCCTTGAATTTGGAATCCATTCCTCCCCTAAGTATCTCAGCTTTATGGGAGGCTGAGGCAGGAGAATCACAACTTTGAGTCCAGCTTGGGTAACTTAATGACTTTGTGAGACTCTGTCTCAAAATTAAAGAATTTTAAAAGGCCTGGGAATGTAACAGTGTGAAGGCCCTGGGATCAATCCTCAGCACCAAAAAAACCCCCCAAAAAACAAAACCCAACCAAACCCCCACCCCTAATACAAACAAAAACTAAAGCAATAATAATAATAATAACAAAAAGCACTTTGAACACTACTTTAATGAGGCTTGAGGTATGGGTTAGCAGTAGAGCACTTACCTAGCAAGCACAAGACTCAGGATTCAAACAGCGCACCCCAACACAAAAAACTTTATTGAGGTATGATGAGTTTGGAGATTTGGTTCTTTTTTTCCCTCCTCCCTCTCTCTTTCTCTCTCTCTTTAATTTTTTTGACAATCTCATTATGTAGTTCAGGCTGGCCTTGAACTCTTAGTGATCCTCCTGCCTCAGCACCCCCAGTGCTGGGATTACAGGCACACACTCCCAGCCCACTTTCTACCTTCCCCTCTACCTTCCCCTCCATTTTTGTCTGGGGACTAAACCTTAAGAATGCCAGGCAGGTGCTCTACTTCTAAACTATCACCCCTTACAGTAATTTTTAATTAGGGAGCACCCGTGGGGGCTGATATTTGAATTCTTAGATTGAGGCAGTGTAAATTTGGTTTGTTTTTTTGTTTTGTTAAGACAGGGTCTCATTGCAAAGTCCAGGCTGGCCTTGGATTTAGCATCTTCCTGCCTGGGTCTACCTAATGCCAGATTACAGGTGTGCACCATCGTGCCCAGTTTTTAAGAGGTTCAGAAGTTTTATGCCCACCTAATGGTGAGTTAGAGACAGCAGGAGCTCATGGCAGCTAAGGGTCTGTGGTTTGCCCGAAGGTCTGTGTCTTCCAGCCCCATTGTAGCTGGACCAGGCAGCAGGGCCATCGCCTGTCCCCAGAGGGGTGCTGGGAGGCCACAGGCACCACCGAGAAGATAGGTTGGGGTCAGCCTCATCTAAGGGAATCCGGGGCTTGGGTGTGACTGGGGCACCTCCCTTTTCTCTGACATCAGTGGAAGAACCTGCGCCACCTTTGCCTAGTGCGCTCTTTTTGCATACAAGGGAAGGAAGGCCAGGCAGGTGGATGGAGCAGGATGCTGGCTCCCTCCCATCTCTGGGCTTGCATCTGAGAGGCTGTGCTGGCAGCAGTAACTGCCTGGGTGCTGTTGGCACCAGGCATCGTCCTGAACGCTGTTACCTTGCACAGTGGCACCATGGAGAGCTTATGTTACCATCACCATTTTATAGATGAGAAAACAGGCCAGAGAGCTTAAATAGGTTTGATGGAGCTGTGAGGGGGGCGTACCCCAAGTTGGCTCTGAGCCCCGTCGCACACCTGCTGTTCTCCCCTGTGTTAGGGTTCCATGAGATGGGGTGGGGCGGCAGAAAAGGTGTCTGCAACCGAGTTTTTGAGGGCTGATCTCTGGATACCAGAGTCTGACTATGGACTCTTCCTGGAGGCCGGTGGCAGCCGGGGACTGTGAGTTGGAAGCCAGGAGGTGTAAGTTCTCTACACACGGCATGTGTCCTTTGTGCCTGTGCCTGGGGCTGTTCCACAGCCTGCTGCCACACACTTTCTCCCCACTGTTCCTCATGGGAGATGAACCCAGGGCCTCACAAATTTCAAGCAAGCCCTCTACCACTGAGCTGCCGGCCCTTTTTATTTTGAGACAGAGTCTCGCAGAGTTGCCCAAGCTGACCTTGAGTGTGTGATCCTCCCTGCTCAGCTTTCTGAATAGTTGGGATTGCTGGTGGGTACCACTGTGCCCAGCTACTTTGGGCATCTTTTTTGTTTTTAATACATTTTATTTTATCCCAACCCCCTCTTAAGCTACTTTGGGTATCTTAACTAAAGAAGTGGTGCTTCTCAATTTAATGAAACCCTGTCACAAAATACAGAACTAAAAGATGGAGCCATGCATGGTGGTACAAGCCTGTAATCTCAGCATTCTGGGAGGCTGAGGCAGGAGGGTACCAAGTTCAGCCAAAACTCAGGCAACTTAGTGAGACCCTGTCTCAAAATAGAAAATTTTTAAAAGGGCTGGGGGTATAGTTGACTGCAAAGGCCCTAGGTTCATTCCCCAGTACTGCAAAAGGAAGGATGGAAGGAAGAGAAGGGAAGGAAGGTGCTTGCTTTTGAAGGGCTGACTGCATGTCACCTGTCATCCTGGAGACTCTTCTCTTGGGTCTTAATCTCCTTCCCTCCT